ATTATAAAGCTCTACATAATCATGCTTAACCGAGAGAATGTTGCCGAGAACATCAGACGTTTATGTCAAATTCTTCTGTGAAGATATTCGATACGTGCTCCAGCATTCACATTCACCAAGTTAAAACATGGGCTCCAAAAGGCACACATACACTTACACACGATGGACAGTTCATCTACATATAAAATTGAGACACTATATGAGGAAAGAATAAGAAAGGAATGGACTTTCCAGTAAGAATTTTAAAGTACGAACGGTCCCCGACTTACAATGGTCCAACTTATGGTTTTTTGACTTTACAATGGTGCAAAAGCGATACGCATTCGGTTAAAACACTACTTCAAACTGAGAATTTCGATCTCTTCCTGGGCTAGTAATATGTGGACCAAAAGATCCTCTCTTCCCTTGCTGGGCAGAGGCAGCAAGTCGCAGCTCCCAGTGGGTGACTGGGGTCGCTGGCTAGCAATCACCAGGGTAAACAACCCATACACTTACAACCATTCTGTTTTTCACTTTTACTATAGTATTCAATAAAGTACATGGGATATACAACACTTTCCTATAAAATAGGCTTTGTGTCAGACTGTAGACTAATGTAAGTGTTCAGAGCATGCTTAAAGTAGGCTAAGCTATGATGTCCGATAGGTTAGGTGTATTAAATGCATTTTCAAATTATGATATTTTCAACTTCAGTCATGTTTATGAAGATGTAACCCCATCGTAAGTCTGGAAGATCTGTACCTCATCTCTGTGAAATGGTGGAAACATCTAATTTTGACGTTTCACTTTTGTGGCATCGTGAGAGGCTAAAAACTCTTGCAAGAGTAGAAATACGGGAGACTTCCCTAGTGGCACAGTAGCTAAGAATCTGCCTGCCAGTGCAGGGGACACAGGTTCGAGCCCTCGTCCGGGAAGATCCCACATGCAGCAGAGCAACTAAGCCCCTGTCCCACAACTACTGAGCCTGTGCTCTAGAACCCGTGAGCCACAACTACTGAAGCCAGCACGCCCTAGAGCCCATGCTCCGCAACGAGAAGCCACCGCCATGAGAAGCCCGCACGCCACAATGAAGAGTAGCCCCCGCTCGCCGCAACTAGAGAAAGCCTGTGCACAGCAGCAAAGACCCAACGCAGCCAAAAAAAAAAAAAAAAAAAAGTTGAAACAGGAAATCGGTAAGTTAAGGGGTTGGGCCAGCCCATACGAAGGTCCTTTCTAACTTGAACGCTCCATGACCCAAGTCATCATACTGTGACCCCTTTCTTTTACAGGAGAAGCAAGTCAGAGCAGAGAGGTACATGGCACTCCAAGGGTCCAGCTCTGTCTGGTGATGGAGCCTGGACTGCTGATTAGCTATATTCTCACCTGAGTTATGCCTAGAAACACTTAGAACCAACAGAGCATGTGGTCAGCATGGGGAGATAAATGATACATTTCACCTCATGGTGGGTATTTCACTTAGTTTAGCTCATAAACAGATAAACTGGCCTCAAGTTTAAAAAAGAACTTCGAGCTCAGACATTCTTTAAACCATCAGTAGTTACTTAAATCACAGAATAGCACAATACAGATAGTAGTACTTTGCATGAACTCTTTAAAGAAGCCAAAGGAATGAACACAGTAACTTGAAAAGAAAACGAACATCTTTGTAGTTTGAAAGACCTTCAAAATACAGAAAACAACTTTCAAAACAAATTATTGCTGTCGTCCAGTTTTCCTAGCAACAGGATCTTTTCTAAGCAAATCAAGTGCCCATTTTAAGGGGTGCCAGAACAATGAGGAAGCTTGGTTTTTCTATATTCTGACCATTTCATTCTTATAACTGAGAGATTACAGAGGAGCACAGAAGTCTACAGGCATTTTTTACTGTCCCTTAAATCTGGGAAGGCCCTCAAATTAGATAAACAGGAAAATCTCCTGCCCCCGAGGGGAAAGGTGAATTGTTCTAGGTAGCAGGCGTATACTGAGTTGATTTTCAATCATTTCTGAATTTATGCTGATCCATCTAGATGCCAGAGCTGTGCCCCCATAGCCAATGGTACTTACCATGCACAACCAACAGGTTTAGGGCTGCAACTTATGGCTGTGATGCTGACCAAAGTTTGCTGATCCCAACCACTATTACCTTCGCTTCAGTTGGTACCCCCCTTTCTAATAAGCAGCAGCTGTGTATACGCGTATTGGGCCAAAGGCCAGGGCTGTTGTGCTAAGGAACCCTGGGTAAATTACTAAAATCTCCCAGGCTCTCAGTTTCCTGTTTCCCTCATAGGTGGAAGGGCATTAATAATCTCACATATTGTACGTCTCTAAAACCAAAGTAAATATAAATATATACAAGAATACTTGAAAGAGCTTTGTAAATTATAAAGTTATAATACATTATTTAACCAGCTGAGTTGGCAAAAGACTATCTCTGACATAACAAGACTGCCCCTGTGGATGTATGAGTTCATACATAATCTGTCACAAAAGTCTGTTAATAAAATATTTACTTTGTTATAAGGTAGAAATTAACAAACCACTGTAAAGCAATTATACTCCAATAAAGGTGTTAAAAAATAAAGCATTAAAAAATTTAAATACACAATAAATGGTTATTAAAGTCAAAAGACAAGTCAATGAAAGCACTATAGATATAGACAGAATTTTTCGGTATTCTAGCAGTTAGAATAGCACATTACTTGACTCTCATGCTGGAAATCACATGGGTGATTTTTTAATGCCAGTTTTACATATGCCCTCACAGGCCTTCAGGATAAAGGGGCTCGTTAACCATTAATTATGTGCTCAATCCACTTCCGTAGTAATACTTCAACGAAAACATTTTTTATTTGTATGCATTTCAATCTAAAATGCCCAGATCAACACAGTCCTTCAGCTACAGCCATATTCTAATTTACAAAAAAAGAGCAGAATGGAATGGGAAAACCCACTATATCTGTTAGGTAGTTAGACATTAGCAGCAAGGAGGTGACAGTGGCGAAAAGAGGGGACTAGTGGAATTACACCCCGACCATCTGACGACCCTCCCCTGACTCCACCCAGAACGGGGGAAACTATAGTCTTGTGGCGAGCAATTTATCCTGATAAAGAGGGAGCACAGTAACACAAGGGGACTTCCCCGGGCTGTGCGTGCCCAGACTAGACAGGCGTGTTAGAGTAAACCAAACTCATTATACCATCATTATAATAAAATCTGCAGGTGGCTTTGCCATCCCCCTTGGGCTTTTCTTAGCGAATCAAGGGTAAGGGCATGCGCAATAAGGAACTTGTTACCTAGCTCGGGGCTGTCAATCAAATAATGACCTCCTGCCACTCACCCACGATTGCGCCCCGCCTCCTCGCAGAGCGCTCCTTATAAACACCCTTAAGCCTGCACAGGAGCTCCTGGCTTCACCTCTTAGAAACAGCCCGCTCTCCCTCTGAGAGTGTAATTATGCTTTAATAAAACTCTGCTTTGTGCTTAAGCCCTAAGTGGTAGTCTGCAATTCTTTGCATACTATCCCAAGGACCGAGATTGCTGGTCCGGGTCTTCCGGTGACCTCCTCGGTTGAAGCTATTTTGACACTACCCACGCCAACCCGGTAACATAACTACAGCTATCTACCACTACAGTGAAAAAGCAGAATGAAACAACAAAATTAAAGGCAAATAGTACTTTGTCAAACACGGACAACATGTTCTTAAAAATTTCCCAAGCTCACTAATAAAGTAACATAATACCCTTTTCATACAGGATGACTGTATCATCTAAAGCATAACCAAAACCCAAACCCGATGACGGAATACTTATATTAAAATATCAGTTATAATTAACTAATTTAAAATTTAAATTTTGCAATATGAAATCTGTACAATATAATTTGAAATTGTGAAGAAAAATAAGAGTATGAGAAATACACTATTTTCATCCCTTGGAGACATGAAATTCTTGCAGCAGGAAAGCGTGCAGAATGTAATGAAATAAAATCTGAAAATTGTGACAATATCTTCACTTAACTTAAAACCGTTTGAATTGAAATCAATATCTCTCTTACATTTTAAACAGGCGCTAAATTTCTTCTCCAGCAGATCTAAATTTTCTTGCAACAAAATCAGACTACTGTGGGAAATAGGTAATCTTTTTAAAGATTACATAACTTCTTTCTAAATGATATCGACGTCTGCGGCTAAATCAAAACCAGTGAAACTGAAAATAGAAATGGAACTGCTAGATATCCATTCTTAACAAAGATGGAAATGATTTCTTAATTTCCAGAGAGCTGTATCTCAGGAATGACTTTCTCAATAACTTAATCAGAATTATCAAATAGCAAACACTTGATGCTAATTAGCCAAAGTAAACCAGGTGAGTCATATTACAACATATATAGAACAACTGCAGTAAAGACAAGGACGAAAACCTAGCTACTTTTTGAAGGTTAACTTTTCTCATACTCAATATTTTCCAGGTTCAACTGAGATGTGATGCATCTCAGACTCAGGAGCCTGTATAAGCGTATTTATCTCAACTACCAGGATTACAGCTGAAAAATAAAAAAACTATCTGAATACCTGGTCTGAAAAGCCTGCAATAATATTCAATTTGAGAAACAAACGACCACCGAACAGAAAACTCAAGAAAGCGCCGGCTTCCACCACCTCGCCGCACCTTGCTCCAATCTTTCGCTCTTCATTTCCATTCCATGGTTAGTTTTCAAGATAAAACGGAAGAAACCTGGTGGAACGGATTTTTAGAAATAAATACTACAGGTGAAACAGAAATAAATTGCTCCAAGGAAGTTGTCCACCCACTCATTTACATACAACCAAAAAATACACCCACATGTATTCCAATCGGTGAAGATGCAACCTCGTGATTTGCAGAGGAGATTGGCCTTATAACAAATCCCAGAGACGGCTACTCTCCCAAGGGAAAAAAGTCATGTGGCTCTTCATCCAGGCAGCCTCTGAGATGCGGGCTCCGCACCTCGTGAGGTGCGGAAATTCAAACGAATCCCTGCCACTCACAAGTGCAGCATCTCCGGGATGAGGCAGGGCTCAGGAGCAGGGACCCACCCACATTCCGCTCTACTCCCGGAAGAGTCCAAGCAGCCCCAAGCTGGGGAGTGCGGACCGTTCCACCCAGAGAGCGAGAGGAAGCAAGCTGGGGGGGACGGGGGGCAGGGAGGCGGGCGCTAGCGGGGGGTGTGGGCAGGGAAGTGGGCATGGAGCGTGTGCTCACCTGACGCGAGGGTCGGTCAGGCGCGCGCGCTGCCGCCGCCTCTGCTGCTGCTCTTCGGCCACGGGCCACAGCGCCCCCGGACACAGCGCCCCAGCGCAGCGTAAGGGGCGACTGTGGCCAGCGCCCGGGTTCCTCCGCCCCCGGCGCCGCAGCGCCGGTTCAGCCGAGGGCGTTAACAGCTGCAGGCAGCGCCTCAGCGCTCGCCGCCTCACCATACTGGGGGCGAGCCGGCGCCGCATCCGAGGCCCACCGGGCGCCCCCACGCCGCGCGGGGCCCTGGCCGAGCTAGATTCCGCTCCACGTTGCCCGGTCACTCACTCACTGTGTCCTTCGAATCTGGCAGCCCCGCCAGCGTCAGCCCCGCGCCGGCCGCCGCTCAGGCCTTTACCAAGATGGCCGCCCACTCCTCCCAGGCCCCGGCGCCGAGGCCTTGTTGGTTACAGGAGGCGCCGCGGCACATTTTGCCCTTTCTGGCCGGGCCCATGCCTTTCTCGCACGCTGCGCAAGCCCTTCTGACACCAAATTTGCTGTCCTGTCTTAGACCTAGAAGCTAAATTTCAGATCGCGTGAACAGCTTTTAGAACACCCGCCCTAATTGCTAAAATTAAATGGGATCTTGGGGGCCTCTCGTAGCCTGCGTGATCGTAGTAGACCAGCACCTGGTAGCAGGATACTTACAACCTATGGTGCCACGAGCCTCGTAGCGAAGAAACCAAACTAATTTGAAGTCTGTACAGTAGGTATTGAATATTCATGGCAAGCATTGCCTTGTCACGGTCTGTGCTCATTAACTATTAAAAAGATGTCACAGCTTCCTGGTATACACAGTTCTCATCTAAATTTGTTTTAAAAAAAAAATCTCAGGATGATGACAACAGAGCACCAAATTATGATTCCCAGCTTTTCCCAGGTTTTCCTTTTTGAACTGCAGGATGAAATTTACTGTTTCAATAAGTAATTTAAGTATAGACAGATGGAAATAGAATTCAACAATGGGTGGGTGGGCAAAGAGATTCCTTTGTAAGAGTCCTCGGGGGTGTGTCCACGGGCCAGAAAGAAATGCCCTCTGTCTGGGACTGCGAATACAGATACGACTGGTGGAAAATGCAAACCAAACTATTTTGCAATTTGAAAGTGACGTGCCAGTGTAATAGCATAGGAATGTAAAGAAGATTATGCCAGGTATGGACTTTCACCCCCTCAGGGTAGCTTGAAGCTGTTGCTGAATCTTATTCACTGAAGTGTGATTAAGAGCTGCTTGCTCGTGGGCTGGGCTGAGACTGCACTCACTCAGTGGTACCTCAGGTGCAACAGGAAAAAAAAGACACAGCACTACAAACCCAAACCGTAAATTGAAGCTACTGTTAGCTCAGGTCTTCACAATGCTCTTGGCTAAGGAACTTTAAAAAGATGCCCTCTGTTCCCCTCACCCCAATTCTTTATGATGATTTTCAAACATAGAGAAAATAGAGATGCCTTTTTGTTACACCGTTTGAATGAATTGCAGACAACAAAATCAATCACCCCTAAATATTTCAGCCTGCCTCTTCTAAAGAAAGGACATTCGCCTCAATCACAATACCGTTAGCACACCTAAGGAAACAATTCCCTGATACCATTTAATGTTCAGTCCAGTTTCAAGTTTGTGTGATTGTCCCAAGAATGACTTTTATAGCCTTTTTCTTTCCGGAACTAGGCTTATTAACTGCCTAGGCTCATGCATTGCATTCGCTTATTATGTTGTTTAAGACGCAATTTGAAACGTTCGCTTGATAACTCTTCTCTACAAACTTACAGATAAATGGAGACAAATGTTTACAGCTTGTTTGTCACTGAGACCAGGTGCTTTTGATAAGCACATTTATGTAGACCAGGAAAGTCTAGGAGGAATGAATAGTAACCTTTTAGTACAACACAGAGATTATAATTGAAGCTGTATTAATTAATGTTTATGCTTTCTAAACATAAACTTTTATGTAGTTTACTCCATAAACTTTATGGATTGTGTTGTAATTTCTACTTGACTTCCAAAGCTTAATTTTTCTAGACAATGAAAAGCTGTTTAGTAAAACAATTTCTATCACTCCAGGTAAAACCTCTAGCTTGCCCTGCTTCACAGTACAGAGCAGAATGAACACTGTGCCTTTCACTCATGGTTTAATTTTAGATCCTGACCTGCTGCAACCTCTAGGAGTCAGGCATTCAGCATATAACTGTTTGTCTTTTAAACCGTCACTGTTAAAACAACAGGCCTAAAATGGAGTCACTTATGCTAAGCTCCACATCACCAAATGGAGACTCAGAATGTCACCCTCTCCCAGAATAGGAATCTTAAATCAGTCAATCAGGAATCACCTGGTCAGCACTAGTTAATCGGCCTGATAGGCCCGTGCCATCCCCTAAAGGAAAGTGACCTGTCACAACCAATCCACTTTCTGCTATTATAACTTCCTGGTCCACTCCCTTCTGCCTGTACAGGTCTTTCATTTTGTACAACTCCTTGGAGCTTCTTTCTATCTGCTAAATGAGATGCTGCCCAATTCATGTATCATTGAAAAAAGCCTATAAGATCTTTAAAATCTACTCAGTTGAATTTGTTTTAACATTACTTCATTTTAAAATGTTAATTAATGCTGTAAAGAAGAGGGGCAAATTTACACAGTTCCCTTCAAGTGGCTGGTGGCCAAGGTAATGTTTCTGGAGACTAGTATTAAATGACCTTATTTTATTTTTTTAAGATTTTTTCAATGTGGACCAATTTTTAAAGTCTTAATTGAATTTGTTACAACACTGCTTCTGTTTTATGTTTTGGGTTTTTCTTTTTTTTTTGGCTGTGAGGCATGTGGGATCCCAGCTCCCCAATCAGGCATCGAACCCGCAACCCCTGCATTGGAAGGTGAAATTCCAACCACTGGACTGCCAGGGAAGTCCCAAATGAGCTTATTTTAAATACTTCACAAAATGTTAGTTAAATTACTTCTGGGAAACCACATATAAACCAATTTTAGCACAACAGCTCACCTGTAAAGTGAGTTCTGCAATCAGTACTGTCCTTTCCTCTCCCAGCTCCAGGCCTAAAGGCACAGAGGACTAGAGCACAGCGTGACTACTTACTAGAGGGCTTTAATTCAATGTGTATTTATAGCAGCACCTGTGGAATTCAGTTAACTACTGAGTTCACCTCCAGTTAAATCAAAATTTATTTGCATGACCATTAACAATCTATAGATAACTCCGAAAAGCGATAAGGCAGCTAACTTCTAAATCAGTGCTCTGCCATTAACTACCTCTTCTACCTTGGAAAATACCCATCCCACCTCACCAGGCCCCCACTCCTACCCTCCAAAATGACTGAGTTTCCGTGGCCACTTGCAGTTGTAACATTTGGTGACTCAAGATTTTGGGGGAAAATATGTGAAGACAGCATGCTGATTACAGGGGGAGTTGGATTACATTAGGCCAATGGTCAGGAAAATTTGACCTGAGGGCCAAATCTCGCCTGCCCCCTGGTTTGTTTTGTTTTTGATTCAAACTATTTTTTTTTTCAGAATATAAAGTCCTCAACATGTATATTATAGTGATACTTTTTCACTTCTTGTGTTGGGGTAAAAAACACATAACATAAAGATGGTTAAGGTGGTAAATTTTCAATGTACAATTCAGTAGCATTAAGTATATTCACATTGTTGGGAAACAGATCTCCAGAATTTTTTCATCTTGCAAATCTAAAACTCTATACCCATTAAACAATACCTCTTCTTCCCCTACCCCCTGGCCTTGGTAACCACCCTTCTATTTTCTGTTTATGTGGATTTGACTATTTAAATACCTCATCCAAATGGAATTATCCAGTATTTGCTTTTTTTGTGACTGACTTATTTCTCTTAGCGTAATCTTCTCAAGGTTCATCCATGTTGTATTGCTGCACGTGACAAGATTTTCTTCCTTTCTTTAAGGCTGAATAATATTCCATTTGCCACATTTTATTTATCCATTCATCCATCAATGGACATTTGGGTTGCTTCCACCTCTTAGCTACTGTGAATGGTGCTGCTATGAACATGCGTGTGCAAATCTCTCTCCAAGACCCTGCCTCGCATTTTTTCAAACATATACCCAGAGGTGGGATTGCTAGATCATACGGCAATTCTCTTTTTTGAGGAACCTCAATACTGCTTTATTGATCTGAAACAAATAGACTGCCAGGTATTTCTCCAGCAAAGATGGACTTGGTATCAGCAGAGAACTGCAGTTCAGGGTCTGCAACCATGGTGAGCCATGTGCAAGTCTCCGTATAGCAAGGGAAGGAGCACACTTTTATAGAGGAGAAAAGGAAGTTGGGAGGGCTCAGTAAACAGAGAGTCCATGACTTCTCACTGGCTGAATCCTTGTCAGGAAAGTAGAAAGTAGAGTCTTTCTTCTTCCTGTTGGGCTCTACTATCATCACAGGGTGTGAGAGCTCTCCCTCCTGGTCTCCCAACTCTATTTAATTGAGGTTTCCATTTATTAAATTTTTAATACTTTCCACAGTGACTACATCATTTTACAATTCCACCAATAGTGCACAAGTGTTTCAATGTCTCCATATCCTCATCAACACTTGTCATTTTCTGTTTTCTAGATATTAGCCATCCTAATGGGTATGAGGTGATATCTCATTGTGATTTTGATTTGTATTTCTCTGATGATTAGGAATCTTGAACATCTTTTTGTATACTTGTTGGCCATTTATATATCATCTTTAGAGAAATGTCTATTGAAGTCCTTTGCCCATTTTTAAATTGAGTTATTTGATTTTTTGTTGTTGAGTTATATGATTCTTTATATATTCTAGGTATTAACCCCTTATCAGATATATGATTTGCAAATATTTTCTTCCATTCCATAGGTTGCCTTT